TCAGGATCAGGCAGTGTTTCCTTCTGCTGTGCATAAGGTCGCTATGGGTTGGTTCTGACTCGATGGCACCTAACAACAACAACAGACGGTAGACACATGTTAACCTGGTCGACGGGGAGGTTAGCCGAGAAAAGAGGAAGTTAGCGGTACACAGGGAGAAGGGCGATAATGAAAATGAAGGGAGGTCAGTCCTTAACTGTTGGTACCCGCTGGGGCTGTAATCATTGTAATGCATCACAGCACAATCAGGTGAGTGGAAAGCTTCACTCAATTCACAAAATTAACAATACCAGCAGGAGACCCAAAGGTCAGTAATCACTCAAAAGCAAAAGTGAGCGCACACAGAGGGGACAGGGTCAGGGAAGTGGGCCAGCCAGCAGGTAATTCCAGAGAACGCTGACACATCGTGATGAAAGCAACTAGAGCCACTCACCTGTTTTTGTGGAAATTGTCAATGGGATCCTAATCGGCCCTGAAGTCTCACTGAAAACTGAGTATTATTTTAAAGAGAGTTTCTTGTCCACAGCACGTTCTGAGTTTGGTCTGAAAACCTCCCCGTGAAGCACAAACAAGACGCAGTGCTCCTGACTATAGGCGCATTCCCGATCGCACGTCTCTCTGCTCCCTGCGCCCCAGCTTGTCAGGAGTGGCCACACCTAGTCCTTACTGTGGTAATATTAGGAGACAGCTGTCCAGGTGCCCATGACCCCACCCATGCCCAATGGCATCGAACCTCTGCCTGCCAGGCCTTGCTTCCTACTCTTAGTTGTGATGCTCTGAAGACTCTGGCTCAGCTTCACGGCAGCATTCAGTACTCCCCAGAGAGACGGGGGTGCTGGCTGCAGAGCAGATGACAAGTCCAGCCCAGCCCTGTACTTGACACTTCTCGTCCCCACCTTCTCTACTGGCCCACAGCTGCACTCTGGGAGTCCCTTCTGACCTCTCCTCACCAATGCAGGTTCCCAGTGGCCAGGCATTTGCTGCTAACCCTACAGAGATAACAAACCTTCAGCTCTATAATTTCTGCCTGGACCTTCCCCACCGTGCGAGGTCACCTTTCATGGCCTGTGGCAGCCTGATTGGATTGGCATAAACGTTCAGCATTCCTACATTACATTCTACTACTGACAACGTCACCTGAAGTCTCAGAGGTGAGACTGTTGGTCGCTCATGGAGACTCTCCCCGCCCCGCCCCCCCCACGGACTTGGTAATGTTTAACTGAACTCGTGGAAACCCTGAGGGGCCCAAGTGTCCCCATATGTTCTTGCCAGTGTGGCAGGAAGCCAGACCTGGAGCTATTGCAGGCTGTTTGCAGTGAGAGGTGAGGACGGCCGGCTGTGCTCACCTTGAGGGCAGTGAGCCATGTGGGTTGGCACACGCACACCCCATGCTTACAGAGTGCCCACCCGGGCTGACCTCGGTCTGGGACCCACCTGGAAGTGCACCAGTTGCACTAATTCAGGGGCAGGGAGGGGAGGTTCCTGCTGCAGGCTCAGGGTGCCCCCACACCTCTGGTCATCGCGGACACCCTGACTGTGAGTGAGCTCAGCTCAGTGCTGTGCTGAGGAGGCACCACGTGCATCATGTCCGAGTCCTCTGTTTCTGGAAGATGGTCACTGTGGCCAGCAACAGGTATCCTCTGTCCACTGGAACTACTTCCTTCTGAAGGGCACTACACCCCGCTGAGCCCCGGGGGGGGTCCCCTTCCCCCACCAAGCACAGGTGTGCTGCTGAGCAACTGCTCTCCCCCTTCTTTCTATCGGGGTGCGAGACACAAAGAAACAACTGTTACCAAGCGCTTTGGAGTGTGCTTCCCCTTTAAATGCAGAAGCACAGCGAGGAAACGTTTCCTTGGACGTACGAGGCTTGGCAGCAACGCCTTATCAACATGGGTCCCTGTGTCCCTGCACCTTGGAGAGCGCGCAGCTGGACGCTGTCCTGAGAAGTGACACATGCACACAGATGCCAACACACGCCCCATGGACGCAGGCCTGGGTACCTGCTAGTGCGCGCAGCCTCACCTGTCACAAACGCTCCAGCAGCACTCAAACTTGTCGTTTTCATAGAGAGAACACAGCGGATTGTGGAGATACTCATGAATCTGCAGGAAGGCATGCTGGCCGCAAGCTGTTCCCGGCCCGCCGCCCTCACCTGCTAGGTCTCCACAGGCCTCTTCTCCATGTTGAGGTCCCACACCTTCACAGACATGTAGGCTCGGGTCATCATGTACCAGCCGCTGTGACTGAAATCACGTCCGAGACGGAAGAGCCGATTTCTGAGCAGAAGGAGCGACTGCTGGGATCTTCAGGCTCTTCAAACACTGGAACCAAAATGAGACGTTTTCAGCTTTTCATCAGTTGGAGAAGGCCCTGGGACACAAGCTGCAATGCGATGGATCGTTTCTGAGGCTTTTCTCCTCCTGCTCTTATAACTCCCGCCATATGAGTGGTGGGAATAAGCAAATGAGATGCTTGTGGCCCACCAAGGGGATTGGACAGCTTGCTAACAATGAAACTAAGGTGCCCAGAATCCTCATGAGGCATTGATCAGTTTTTCCATCCCACTAGGTTTAAAATCAGCCATCCCTGGGATGGACAGAGGGGACCTCACTACCACTCAGAGGCACAGGGCATCTTCTGGACCCTAAGGACCCCCGAGACCAGGAGACAGAACTGCAGCCATGCAGGCGGTGAGCGGCAGCAGACCAATGCAAAATGGCATAGAGGGCTTCCTGGTACAGCAGACATGCCAACCCACAGAGGCATGAGAGCTGGGTCTTTGGGCAGGTGACTTCCTGGCAGAGTGGAGTACCTCGTGGCAGGTATGAGGCACTAAACAACTTTCTAACACTTGTCTGAGCAGAGGAGAGGCTGGGCTGCGGGCGCTGTTGAGAACTGGATCCCGAGGGTTCCTGAACCTGAATTGTAACCGGTTGTTGCTGGGTTGTCAAGGGCCATATCAAACCTGTATAGGTTTCCGAGGAGCTGCCGGTGGGTTTGAAGCGCTGACTTTGTAGAGCGCTGTGGGCGGGATGGCTGACGATAGCAGTGGTAGACCAGTGGAGGCACTATGGGCTGATGTGACTTCATGGAGACTCACCAGCCCCCTTCACTACCGATTTGGTAAACTCAGCTGTAGAAGAAACACTGAGTCCACAACACTTTGTTCATGAGGCCCACATCAGAAATGGAGACCCAAATCCAACGGACTCTGAATGGGGGCTTCTATGGGTAGGCCCTGACAAGCCCCTTGAGGTGTTCTGACCAGTCACCTGGTTAGAGACAGTCATTCATCGTGGGCACTCCCAACTCATGTCCAATGACTGCCCAGGCCTGGGTCAGCGGGGTCCTGCCTCAACCACTGGCTCTGACCAGATGGTACAGGCCTGCTTCCCTGCAAAAGGCAACGAGCTCAGTGGGTCAGCAGCTGGAGAGCGCCTAGCTCCATCTGTGGTCCGGACTCAATACCCCAAAGTGTCCCCAACAAGCCGGCCGGGAGTTCGGTCCTCTCCCTCAGAAGCCATGATTCACTGTAACAAACCCGGATGCTGGGAGAGCAGGCTCCACAGCACCTCGGCACACAGGCCCCCCCGACACTGACAGGGCTCTCACCTACAGACTGTCAGCTGAGGAAATAGGCACGCCCTTTGGTTTAAGGGGCATCAACTTTTGTTGGAGCCCTGGCTGTGCTGTAGGTTCAGTGTTGGGTGGCTAACTGCAAGGTCGGTGGTTCAAGCCCATCAGCTGTCAGCTCCCATAAGGATTTAGGCTCTGAACGGACTCGACAGAAGTGGGTTTTTGCCTCTTGAAACTGTGGGAATCTACATGTTTGTTTGGCTCTGCATTTGAAGCTTTCTCTATACACAAATACATACACTATATCTACACATACACAAGCTACATCTACACACGTAAACACTACCCACACACACTATATCTACACAAACTACAATTACACACATACACTATATCTACACATACACAAATTACACCTACCTACACACACACACACACACCTGCAATACACAAACTACATCTACACACATACACACTATCCACACAGACACTATATCTACACAAACTACAATTACACAATACATGATCTATATCTACACACACAGTATATCTACACACACACAAACTACTTCTACAAACATACACACTCTACACGCAGTCTTCACACATACACTATAATTACACACACACACACACAGTCTACACGTCTCCTATCTAGATTCTCAAGCTACCTTTTGCCAAGGACCATTGATTTCTATTTCCAGTCTTCTGTGGGCTATGTTTATAAAAGGCGATACATATGAAAGATGAGAAAAATGCAGGCCAATGGGAGCATTCACTCAAATGAAGCCATAGAGATGTCTACTCAAGGGAAGTTAGTATTCTGAAGAAACAGGTCAAAGAGGCAGGCGCACAAGGTGGAGAGCCACAGGCTCAAGCTCAGTGCTGGCCGCAGTGCGGTGCTGCAGGGGTGGACGCTGTCTGCACTCACTCCCCCTCAGCCCGGTGACTCCACAAAGTTGGTCTCTGGTGGAAGGACTGAGGGCTGTCAGGGCTCAGGGCCCGGCCCTCTGGTGGACAGTGAGGCCCTTACACTTGACGTGCTGGTCGCACAGGACGGAGGCCTGCATGTGGCAAAGGCAGACGGTACTCTTCCTGCTGCTGTAGACAAAACCGTGGCACTGGTGCGGGTGGAACTGAGCTGCTGTGATCACCTCGGACAGCTCCTCCATGTTGGCCGGCTTGATGTCCACGATGTCTGGGGCGGCGGTAAGGCAAAGAGGGCTGGCCACGTCTGTCTCTAGAGTGTGTGGGGACTCTAGTGGGATCCTGCTGCAGGTGGTGGGGTGCCTGCCTACGGTGTTGCTGTGACCCAGCTCCACAGAACTTCCTGCCCCCCTCCCACACACACCCACACAGACGCTGCACCCTCTTTCAGTCCCCCACATCTGTCCTGAGTGTCATCCCAGGATGTGCTCTCAGGCTCAGGCTGAGATAGCCTCTTGTCACCCTACCTCACACCCCAAACAAAACACAACCATCAACAATGAGAAGGCACAGTGTGCCACTGGACACCGGATGGTGGGTGATGGCGGTGGGGTGCACAGGTGGACACCAGGCAGGTCAGGAGGTTTCCCTGGGTGCCAGGGGAGCCAGCACCTGCTTGTGGGGAACCGCTGACACTCAGGAGGTCAGGCTAGTTGGAAGTCCACTAGGGAAGAACACTTGGGCACACTTGGCTGGTGTGACCAGGGGCTCCCGGCAGCCAGTTGGAGGATGCTGAGACTGCCCAGTGGAGAACCTCAGAAGGACATGCTGCCCCACGTGACGTCCAGGACTGACCCCCTCACCCACAGGGGCTTTGTGGCCAGCGACGCCCATTTCACTCCGTCCATCAGTGAGTTCGGTCATCCCTCCGGGCTCCCTCCTCGACTCCCAGCCGTGCCAAGTGCCCGGGCGACAGGATGCTATTGTCTCTGGTCTCAGAGTGTGTGGAGTGCCTTCCCTCAGCGCACAGGGTCACACAGACAATGAGGTCCTGGGCGGGGGCAGCCAATATGGTGTTTCCTGGAGGAAGTGATAGGAAGGCAGCGCGCTTGTCCTGGTTCTTTGTAGCTTACACGGGCACTGACTGTTACAAAGTTTTCCTACTGAAATCGCTCAAAAACAAGTAACTGTTACAGAACCCTGGTGCCACAGTGGGTTCAGGGTTGGGCTGCTCACCGCAAGGTTGTCGGTTCAAACCCACTAGCCTCTCCGAGGGAGAAAGATGTGCTGATCTGCTTCTGTTCAGACTGAGTCTCAGAAACCCTACAGGGCGGCTCCACTCTGCCCTGAAAAGTGTCTGGCAGTCGGCATCGATGGCTGTGGGTTTTGGGGACAAAAAGCAAAGGGTCTGTTGCACTCAGCAGCAGGCTCAGAAACTGGGGTGTCCCTGATGGGGACTGAGGGAGGCTGTGGGGTTGCACTACCCGTCAACTGCAGTAGGGAGGCATTGCAGGACACGAGGGTGCCTCTTCACATTGTTGTTGTGTGCCGTGGAGTCAGTTCCAACTCACAGCGACCCTGCACAGGGTTTCCGAGGCTGTAAATCTTTACTGGAGCAGAAAGCCTCATCTTTCTCCTGCAGAACAGCTGGTAGTTTCGAACTGCTGACCCTGAGATTAGCAGCCTGATTCGTAACCACTATGCTACCAGAGCTCAGGCACTGAAAAATGTTAGCAGATGAAAGTAGATATAAGAAAAGGACAAAGGACAGTAAAGCGGCAAGTCACAAAAATGGACATGAAATTAATGAAAATAAAAGAGCATATAACACATCAGGAATTAAGAAAGAAAACCCTGTCATATTTCTGGACTTGTTACACTGAGAAGCTATTGTTTCTAAGACAGAGTGCTCTGCTGGATGTGAGTGAGGGTCTCCGCTCCCCTCCACCCTCAAATACGGATCACAACGCAAAAGGGTCACAACCGAGTCTGCACATGACGTTCGCCGGAGGCTGGCTTTTCACAGGCATAAACCAACAGCCATGAACACAGTAATGGTGGGTGTGCACCAGGTTGTTCGTCCCCGAGCTCACAGCTGACGGGAGGGCAGTCACCATCCATCATAGGAACGAACAGGCAAACCCAGGGGCTCCCACACCTCATCTGGAGAGTGGTTTCCCGAAGGGGTGGGCTGAGGAGGAGGAGTTCTCCTTTCTAGGCATTATTGGAGTTTGGTTTAAAATGGTTATGTATCATCAGAAAGAAGAATGAGAAGCCAGAGGTCTTGGAGGAAGAGAAACAGGGGCTATGGAAATGACCCACTTCAGTTGGTAAATGGACCAGCCACGGGTACAGATTCGCCCAGAGGCAAGCATAGCCTAGAACTTGGCAGAATGTGCTCCCTCTAGCTCTCAGAGCCACACCAAAGCCAAGCCCACTAGCACGGAGTCGATTCCCACTCATAATGACCCTAGGACAGAGAACTGTCCCATGGGGTTTCCAAGGCTGTCATCTTTATGGGAGCAGACAGCGTCCTCTGTCCCCCACAGAAGGTGAGCTAGCAGCGAAGTGACTCAGCCATGGTGCGACCAGGGCCTCTTCAACAGCCTCACAGAGGATCAAGTCACAGAAATGACCAACCAACGGAAAGGGTACCCGAGTGTCAGGACGCACGGGAGACACCCCACTTTACAAAGCCGTGAGCCCATCTTTTCTAGAGGGTTTCTGTAAATCAAAAGAACGCAACTGCAGAGTAAGTCTCACCGCGTCTCACCGCGTCTCACCACGTCTCACCACGTCTCACCGCGTCTCACCACATCTCACCACGTCTCACGGGAAGACGACGCGCCTGAGAAGTACGCACTACAGAGCTGTTTTCTGGAGAGATGAGTAATTAAAAAAGAATCCTGTGCTCTCCTATCAACATTCAGATTGTGTCTTAACCCAACATGCCATCTTGAGCCTTCAAACACACGCTATTCAGGTGGTTTCTAGTGCAGCCAAGTGGAGCCCAGTACACAGAGAACATGTCCAGTGGTAGAAAAAGGCTTCATGCTACAACAATGTCCATTGTAAGCTACCGAATGAGGTTCTGAGATGCGGGACTAGAACACTATGTGAAGAGCAACCCTGAGACTAATGGCCAGCTATCGTCTGACGAAGGATACTAAAACTTCTATCTGTGATTTCTAAAGGCCATAGGTTAATTCTCAGGTTTCATGATCACTGTTTACGGAGATGGAATTTACATGATACGTGTGAGCATTTGCAAACACTCATGGAGGGCTGGCTTCTACCATAAGGTCCATGGGCTTCAACATGGGGACCTAGAAATGGGAGGAAACAGGAATTCCAAACCAAGACCACAGCAGCATGTCCTGAGAGCACGCACAATAGAGCCTGTCTACATTCACGGGGACGGGGCGACGATGCCCACAGACACCAGCAGGCAGGGCTGACTGGGGAAAAGGGCAGTTCCATCTTTGGGCCGGGTGCCCCTCAGCACGCATGCTAAGGCTGGTACTGCCTTAGGAGGAAAGCCAGCGGAGCTGATACCCAGAGTACCAGACCCCCACTGTGCCCCATGCTCACCACCCAACCCTGAGACAGCAGAACCTCAGGTGTTCAGCACAAGTGCCTCCCTTTCTTCTCCCAGGCCTGACGCCACCGAGTTTCAGGGATCACAGAGCTACTGCGTGCTATGGGGAGGCGGGGGTTCTCAATGGGACAGGAAGGGCACAGGAGGGACCCCAGGTACTGACACTGCTCCATGAGTGGGTCTGGGTGCTGACTGTGTTCACCTATCTGACATGCTTCTCCTTGGCCGTGTGTGCTAGGAGACTAAGTTGTCTGGGTGGGAAGGATGGGGTGGAGAGGAGCCAGCCAGCCAGCCAGCCAGCCAGGAGGAGGGCGAGGAGGGCACTGCTGGTCCGTGAGTACCTGGGCCCCAGAAAAAGTGCCCAGCCAACCCGAGCTCTTTTCAAGTCACCTCTGTAAACGGGAGAGCCAATGAGGAAATGTCTGTCTTTGTCAGGTGAGAACTCTAAAAATGAACTTGGGCCAATGTATCCCGAATAGCTCCCTCCCTTGGAAGCCAGGTATGAGAGCTGTGCTCTCAGGGGATGAAGTGTGAGTGTTGGCATGTGGGTACCACAGACAGTCACCATAGCGCTCCACACCCCGTAACCCAGAAACACCAACAACTCTGCTTTCAATGAATTTCCCTTTCTGGCATTAAAACAATTAAACCACACACACACACAAAGTGACTACAAAAAGAGCCACATCTCTGACTCCTCCCCTGTCTTGTTCAGAAGACTCATACAAGGCTGCGCTTTCTGAAAATGAGGGGCTCCACACACACACCCTACTCATCAAAACGCCGTGTGAGGAAACCACACTTCACTCCCATGCCCGCTGGATCTCAGCTCCGTCTCCAGGAGCAGCCTTGGAATAAAAGCCACTCTTCTCCCCTAAATGGACCTGCTGTCCTGAATTCCAGAAATCCAGAGAGGTGTGGGGAGGGGGCAGAATGCCTATGAAGGGTTTGAAGTCAGTTGCCTACCTGCTGCCGACCGGGGAGCCACTGTTCCCACACCCTGAGGCGACTCATGTCAGCAGGCCCTGCAGAATGGTGCCATATTAGGAACCTTCAGGCTTTGGTTCAGAAACTATGCTCAACAAAGCAGACCTCAACACACTGATCTGCCCACCAAAGGACCCACAATGTATCCCTGAGGGTCATTCCAGGATGACCCGTGGTTTCAACAGTGCTGTCAGAGGGCCTTTGTGCTGGGCTGGTGGCATGTTGCCCACCACAGGAGGTGCCTGGGCATCAGAAACGCTCTTCACGATGCCCAGCCCAGCATGGGCCAGTGATGTGGGTGTGGCAGTACGACTCCTCAGTAGGACCCTCAATGACTAACTCCAAAGAAGCTCATTAACTAGGGCTTCACTTGAGGAACTGTATTTCAACAGGTTTTTAAGCTCCTTCAAAGAACAAACCAACAAGCAATTTTCAGATCCACTAGCAATGCTTCTTTGGGACAAGTCTGTTTGGCACAAGGGCAGCCTGGGACCTCGGACCTCCTTTCTCCAAGTTTCACTGGGTCAAGAAACTATCAAGTGTGTGCACCACTAAGCCAAGCAGAAGACAAGAAGATTCCAAGCTGTACACTGTACCCAATTTTAACTGCAGATACCACAGACATCACTGTTAAAAGCTGATAGAATCATGTTCATTCATAATATATGTGGGAGCACCGAAACGGAAGTGAAGAATTTAACCATAAAAAAGAAATCATGATGTTCATGGGATGGCAGGTGGAGGGGAGAAGAGCCCAAGTATTCTGAAATATCCGAGCTAGCCCTCGTTACTTCAGAGGACACTGAAAACTCCCTGAGGATATTTGATAGCCCAAGGCCAGTTCATGAGTGGCCCTGAATTTTATTTGGACGTCAGTTTGTGCCACGTGCTATTCTGAGCCTTCAGACTGGAAAGTAGTGGACCCAGTGAGAGTTAGTTCTGTTGTGGAGTTCAGTCCCAGTTCTTCCTTACCATCGCGCGGCTTCCTGAGGATAAGTGTGGCTTTTGCTTTGGTGAAGAATGACGGACCCTGGTTTTTGAAAAAGGTGATCACAGTGTAACTCCTGGGGTTTCCAGGGCCCAAGACAGCAGCTCCCAGAAGACACCTCTGGACACCATTCTCTCTCTCCACAGTGGACTAGAGCATCGTGTTCTGGACTAAGGAAAAGTACTGGATGTTTTTGTAAAAAGGTAACATATACCCGCAGCGCTGTAATTCTAAATGGATCTCGACATCGTCCGTCTTCATCTTTCAAGTTATAGCCTTCGGCTCTTTTATCCCGTTCACTTGTTTTCCATAATTTAATAGTTTTATCTGAAAATAAAAACCCCATTCTCTGTATTAAAAGAAAAAACATAACATGTACTCCACTCCTCTCATTAGCTGAATACCCTACTATAGAAAGTCTTGTGGTTCTATCGATTTATAAGCTAGAAGGTCTCTCAACATCCACATTTCCAATCAAGGACACATATTTTGTACAATCTGAAGAAGCAGAGTAGAGTAACAGTGTAATATTGTGGGGTGTCGAACTTTTTGAAATTTCAACCCAACTATCAAATGCTACCTAGAGAATAACTTACCCTTCCCCAATAGTTTGAGGCAGAAAAAAAGGTCTAGAGTGAGTTTCAATAAAAAAATTCACATATAGAACATTTAAAATAAAACCCTAAATCAAACAACACAAAGAAATATGAAAAAGCTCTCACCATTTGTAGAGAGTAGAAAAGGAGCAGCATTCTGTTGTGGCAACCACCAAATTGCGTTAATTTTTTCCTCGATTTTTAGACTTTTCAGGTAGTCAAACTTGGGCTCGTGACTCTGAAAGGTACTGCCCCCTGGAGGAAGGGCGGCTCTTCGTCTACAAGGAAACACGGCAGCTGCTTTAGGGAGTGAGGGGCATGCAGGTGGCTGGGGGGACTACCCCGCTGAATGTTAAACCACCACCCGCATTTTAGAAAGCCAAACCAGTCCTGGGTCAAAAACCCGCAAAGGTACGAACCTCAGAATTGATTTACCTGGGAAGAGCACATGGAGACCACCCCTCCCCTTTCTCTTCCAGGTGGCCACTAGAGCAGACCAGGGTCACAGGCTGCCTGTGAGAAGTGGAGAGACTGCCCAGTCATGCGGCTGAGTCATTCCCATGAGATCTGTGCTAAGGCATAGTCTACAGCCACCCCAGCGCAAACACACCCAAACTCGTCTAAACCCACCACCCAGTCTACGGCCATACTGCCCTGAACATGCCCAATCTTGTCTAGAACAACTGTACAACCTATGTTCATTCTGCCCCAAACATACCTGATCTCATCTAATACAACCACATAGTCTACAGCTATGTTGTTAGTATGTGCTGTGGAGTCAGTTCCGACTCATAGCGACCCTGTACAGGGTTTCTGAGGTTGTAAATTTTTACAGGAGTAGAAAGTCTCATCTTTCTCCCGTGGAACAGCTGGTAGTTTTGAACTGCTGACCCTAAGATTAGCAGCCGGATTTGTATCCATTACGCTATAAGAGCTCCTTATCCACAGTTATACTGCCCCCCAAATGCCCAATCTCACCGAGAACAATCGCATAGTCTACGGCCATACCATTCATGCCTGGTGTTGTCTGGAATCGACAGCCATACCATCAGGGACATGCCCAACCTCACCTAGAACACCGCAGTCTACGGCAACACTACCTAGAACACAGCCTATCTAGAACTGCACAGGCCCAGCAGGCTCCTACAGTGAAGACAAATGAGCCCCAAGGCCAGGGTCAGCACGAAGACCAAGCGTGTCAAGACCTCCCTGGATGCACTGACTGTCTCTGGTGTAAGCTGTTAATACATCCATGTGTTCTATGTTGTTATTGTTAAGTGCCGTTGAGTTGGTTCTGACCCATAGCGACCCTGTATAGCGTTTTCGAGGAGCAGCTGGTGAGTTTTAACTGCCGACCTTGCAGCTGAAATGGCTTTGTAGTCTGGTGCATTAACCCACAGCGCCACATGTGTGTTCTATACAAGGAGTAAAATGTACTTGGAGCAATAATCCCTTCTTCACCTCTGGGAAGGTTGGTAAGGGTCAAACCAGCAGACTGGGGCAGGGGGGAAGTGGAGAACAAATCTGGGGGTCACAAAGGAAGGGACTGTTTGCGTCTGGTCTGAGTTTCTGAACAACAGCAGGGGAAGTGAGGGAGGTGTGGACAGATTCCTACTGAGCCCTGAAATTTTATGCAGACCTGAGATTTTTTAAAAAATGAAACCCTAACGATTTCATACTTAAAAAGCATGGACAAGGGTATTTTGTTTCATTCTTGCTCTAGAACCAAGATCGAAAATCTCACATTTTTACACTTTAGTATGTGAAACAAAGAAAAAAACCCATCTATTCTAGGGTACTGATATCCTAGGACATTGAAACATGTCGCACTCTGGTGGCCTGGGTGTGGCTGTGATGCTGGAAGCTATGCTACCAGTATTTTGAAAGCTGGCAGGGTTACCCATTGTGTCCAAGTTGCAGATGGCTTTCCAGACTAAGACAGATTTGGAAGAAGGGGAGGTGGACTCATTCTCAATGTTTAGCCTCTGAACACCTTGTAAATAGCAGTGAAACACTTGTCAGATAGCACCACGATATTGTCAGATATTGTGCTGGAAGATGAGCCCCTCAGACTGGAGGGCACTCAAAATGTGACTGGGAAAGAGCTGCCTCCTTAAAGGAGAGTTGACTGTAAGGATGTAATGGAGTAAAGCATCTGGGACCTTCATTTGCAGATGGGGCACAACTCAAAATGAGGAGAAATAGCTACAAGCTTCCATTAACAATCAGAACATGGAGTCTATGAAGTATGAATCTAGGAAAATTGGAAGTTGTAAAAATTGACATGGAATGCATAAACACGGACATCGGAGGCATTAGTCAGCTGAAGTGGACTGCTACTGGCCATTTTGAATCTAACATGGTTTACTACGCTGGGAATGACAAACTGAAGAGGAATGGGATTACATTCATCACCAAAAAGAATATTTCAAGATCAACCTTGAAGTATAATGTTGTCTGTGATAGGATAATATCCATATGCCTACCAGGTAGACCAGTTAGCATCACTATTGTTTAAATGTATGCACCAACCACTAAAGCAAGTGATAACGGAATTGAAGAATTCTATTATATTCTTATATTTTTAAAGTGTTGAAGAGCAACAATGTCAACTTGAGGACTAAGGTGCGCCTGACCCAAGGAAGCCATGGTATTTGCAATAACTTCATATGCATGTGAAAGCTGGTCAGTGAATAAGGAAGACCGTAGAAGAATTGATGCTTTTGAGTTATGGTGTTGGAGGAGAATATTTAAAGTGCCATGGACTGCCAAAAGAACCAATAGATCCATTTTGGAAGAAGTGCAACCAGAGTGCTCCTTAGAGGCCAGGATGCCAAACTTCGTCTTTCATACTTCGGACATATTGTCAGGAGGGACCAGTTGGCTGGAGAAGGATATCATGTTTGGTAAGGTGAAGGGTCAGAGAAAAAGAGGAAGACCCCCGGCAAGATGGTCTGGCAAAGTGGCAGCATCCATGGGCTCAAGTGTGGCAACAACTGTGAGGTTGGCCCAGGATCGGGCAGTGTTTCATTCTGCTGTGCATAAGGTCGCTATGAGTTGGTACCGACTCAATGGCACCTAATAACAACAACTATATTCTTCAATCTGAAACTGATCAAACATGTGGTGAAGATATATTGATAATTACTGGTGACTGGAATGTAAAAATTGGAACTAAAGAAGGATCAGCAGTTGGGAAATATGGCCTTGGCCAAAGAAATGATGGAGATTGCATGATAGAATTTTGCAAGACCAATGATTTCTTCATTGTAAATACCTTTTTCAAGCAACATAAAAGATGATGTACACATGGACGTCAACAAATGGAAAAAACAAATAAAACTAACTATGTCTGTGGAAAGAGATGTTGGAAAACCTCCATTATCACCCTGTACAAGGCCAGGGGTAGACTCTGGTACAGACCATTAATTACTCATATGCAAGTTCCAGCTGAAGCTGGAGAAAACAAAAACAAATTCACGAGAGCCAAAATATGACCTTGAACATATCTCACCTGAATTTAGAGATCATCTGAAGAACAGATTTGATGCATTAGACACTTATGACCAAAGACCAGAAGAGTTATGGGATAACATCAAAAACATCATATAGGAATTTTAAAAAGGAACCAAATGGAAGTCAGAGAGACTTTGAAACATGCTCTCTAGTGTAGAGATGGCTAAAGCAAATGGACGATATAACAAAGTAAAAGAGCTTAACAGAAATTTTCAAAGACCAGTTGAAGAAGACAAAGTCAAATACTATCATGAAATGGGCAAAAACCTGGAGTTAGAAAACCAAAAGGGAGGAACACGCTCAGCATTTCTCAACTGAAAGAAATGAGGAAAAAAATCAAGCCTTGACTTGTAGTACTGAAGGATTCCTTGAGTAAAATACTGAATGATGCAGAAATCATAAAAAGAAGGAAGGCATACATAGAGTCACTATCAAAAAGAGATGGTCAGTTGGCTACCTAAAATGAAGGAGCGATAAAGGCACAAAGTGACTGGCTTACAAATTTTCAAGAGGGAGTTTAGTTTAAGAGTGTGGGGGGTAATGTAGAGTCCCCACTGAATAGTTTTCATCTTGTCTAGACTGGTCTGGTGAAAAAAGATGGCGATAAGATTCTTATGATTCAACAGCGAGTAATTGTTATCATGACTAATTGCGACTGTCACAATTGTAAAGGCAGAAGTTTTGTAACAAAACCAGGGGAATAGTTAATTTTACAGTCCAGAAACAGAGGACCCTAGGAACATCAAGGGAGAAGAGCATGAGTGGAATGCGGGACCCTATCCAGAAACGCAGAGGCACCAGAGATGGAGGCAGAGATGAGGACATCGAGAGAGGGACTGGGTGTTAGTGGCCAGGAGGCAGGCTTGCAGAACGAGCCCTTTGGTTGTTTAAATTATTATATATTCCTGAGTGTTTCTGTGTACATCTCCGCTCCCTCCCCCCACCAAAAAACAACAACAACAACAAACAAAAACCCCAGAGGGAATGGAGGCAAATACTGTTGAGTGATGATGCATGGAGGAGATTGTCATCATCGCAATGAAACAATGGTGTAAAGCTGATATTCTCCCATGCCAACTGTCATTCAGTTCACAATAAAAACTTAAAAAGAAAGAAAGAAATGGTGGGTGTTCAACCATTTCAAGAGGTATTATCTGGAGCCAATGGGAAAGCAGCAGCAAGTCCAAGGTGCACTGAAGGCACTGGTAAAAAAAAAGGGCGCCTGGAATTGATACAAACGCGTCTTTCAACAAACACATGCAACACTAAAGGCACTCATTCATCTATGAAAAGAAATTTGGAAGACAGCTACCTGGCCAACTAACTGATTGGAGAGATCCATACTTGTGCCCATTTGAAAGAGAGGTGACCAAGTGGCATATAGATGTCATCGGACCATATCATTAATATGACATGCAAGTAAAAGTTTGCTCAAGATAATACAAAAACGGCTGCAGCAGTTCACTGAAGAGCTAAGATGTCAGTCTGAGGACTAAGGTGCACCTGACCCAAGTCATGATCGTTTCAATAACCTCAGCTGCATGGTGACCGAGTAAAGAAGAGCATAGAAGAATTGTAGCATTTGAGTTATGGTGTTATAGAATAATGCTGAATATTCAAAGTACCGTGGACTGCCAGAATTACAAACAAATCTGTAGAAGCCAAGATGGCCAGACTTCATCTCTCATACTTTGGACACATAAACAGGAGAGACCAGTCCCTGTAGAAAGACATCATGCTTGGTAAAATGGAGGGTAGAGAAAAACAGGGAGATGCCCAACGAGGCGGACTGGCACAGTGGCAGCAAGCAGTAGCAATGGGCTAACGTGTAACCACTTCGAGGATGCTGCAAGACTGGGCAGGGTTTGGTTGGGTTGTACATACAGTCACTATGAGTCAAAACTGACTCGATGACACTTAACACGTAGCAACACACTCTGGGTATATTAAAATGCCAGTTCATGTCCATGACTGATCACAACATTAAGCATGCAAGTGAAACAATTCTGTAGAACGACAGTGAATTTTGTGACAAATCACTTGCAAATTGCTCTGCCTATGTTGTGGTGCTGGACTGCAATGTTGGTTTCAACTGCAAGGTCAGTGGTTCAAGCTCACCAGCCACTCCTTGGAAAGCCTATATAAGGGTCGCTATGGGTCGGAACCTACTCGATGGCACGTAACAACAACCATGATGAAATCATTCATGACAGACTTGGGTTTCAAAAAGTCTGTGCAAGAGGGATACCAACTCACAGAAGAGCATAAACAGAAGTGTTTGGACATCTGCAAGCAAAATTTGGAACGATATTTGAAGGAAGGTCAAAGTTTCTTTAAAAAGGTTACTGGTGACGAGACATGGATTCATTGCTATGAGCCTGAGAGTAAATGGCAGAGTATGGAATGGAGACCTCTTCAACTGTCAACCAAGAAAAGTTAAACAGTCAACCATTAGCTGGAAAATTGATGCTTACAGTTTCCTAGGATTCTCAAGGGCCGGTACTGGAACACTTTTAGGAAGAAGGTTCAACCGTGTGCATTACAGTGAGATACCCACTGCAGAGCTGGAGCCTAAACTTTAGATTCAAAGCGGCGGACTATTACTCAAGGGCGTTGTGGTCTTGCATGACAACGCATAGCCACGCACCTCTGACTACACTGTTGACACTCTGTAAAACTTCATGTTGAAGTTGTTAAAACATCTTCCCTATAGTACTGATCTTGCTCCATCAGACTTTCATCTGTTTGGTCTCCTGAAAACAACTCTTTGAGGACGAAGATTCACCTCTGATGAAGAAGCGAAGACAGCGGAACATTCGTGGCTCACAGCTCAGCCTAAAACAGTTTTAATAGGGGAAAACAAAAGCTTGTTGACAGATGGACAAAGTGTATTGAAAAGCAAGGCATTTATGACAAAAAACGGTATTTTCTTTGTCTTTTCTAAAAGTTGATTAAAATAAATTCTACAGCCAGAGTTCAGATAATTTTTGACTCACCCTCGTAGATATTTTTTTACATTTCTGAATTAAGATCACATAACCTCGCAAAATGCTAGATGAATTTCTGCACTTCAGTGAATTTTTATGAACTCTATAGTTCTTGGGGGGCCCAGTGGCTCTGCAGGATAAACACTGGACTGCTAGCCACATGGTGGTTCAAGCCCAGCAGCTCTTTCGCAGGACAAAGATGAGGCTTTCTGCTCCTGAGAAGACTGACAGCTTGGGAACCCTTATAGGGGCACTGGGATCAGAACTGACTCCATGGCACTAAACAACAATACCAAGGCTCCTAAAATTGAGCCTTTTTACTACGTGGGTTTTCGTGACGATGTTGTGTTGGTGGTTGGTTGACGTGCTTTGTACAGCTCTCCCCTTCACGAAAGCCATCAACAGAGAGTTGGCTTGGTGGATGTGAGAGAGAGTACGTGGAATTATTTACAAAGAGCATTCTGCAGAATCAAGCAGTCCCATGTCTTAGGAGGTGGGTCCACAGAGGAGGCACGTGGGTCTACTCATCAGATGGGACGGCGGAATAGAGAAACGGCTGTTCAAACAACAAGTTAAACAGCCACCTGCACCTCCCAAGAGCCCCAAACAAGAGGCTCGGCAGAGGTGAGGGTTGACTGTGGTAAGAGTGGGGTCAGCCCTGCAGAGGGGTAAGAGGGAGCACCCCGGGGAGCCATCACTTCCTTGGTCAGACACCCAGGCTTCCCAGGATGGTGAGGGTGGACGGAGGACAGTGGCTAAGCAGTCCACCTACTCAGGTCTTCAGCGGCTCCTGACCTGTCTCTTTACACACTACATTGGCAATAGTCTCGTGGGGCACCGCCTATCTTCAGCAGGCCGTCCTGCCCTAACCAGTCCTAGCATGCCTTGTCCAGTGGGCAGTGGATTTCTCTTCTCACTGACATATGTTCAGGACAATGACACAGTTGTCACCCACCTCCGCCTTCTCTGCTGTCATCCCGTCTGCACCAGCTGTGCACACCTCACTAACAAGTTCAGTTCCAGGCATCAAAGTGCAGCTCATGCTCCTGTCCGCACTAAAATCTAACAAGCTGACCCAACTCTACGTTAGATGAACACAAAGCACAATGCACTAGACGTGTTCTAGTTGAGAAGCAGATGGAGTATGAACATGCCTCTTTCTGTTACTAAAATATATAGAAAATGATGGGGGGGGGGGCGGGGAACCTGTCTGGAGTTTCCCAGGCCCCTCAAATTTAGACAAGGGCCGAACTACTCTACACATCCGGGCCTTCAGGTAACAGCAACTTCACACACTGGAACTACATGTTTAGGGTGACAGGTTCTTGTAACTCTGAACACCCAATCAAGATGTTTGACTTTTTCCACAGGCAAACAATATCACATTTGAAACGGAAAACATACCTATTCCAATTGTGAAGGCAAAGAGTAGCATCTGCCTCAGGGACACCACCTGAGGCTTTAGTTAAGCTCCTGCCACAGGGATGTTAGAAACTGTCACTTCTGTTTTACACAGGCCTTCTCCAATCTGAGGCAAAAACACAACATTGTAATCTGTAAAGATTTTGAAAGATCAATGACAATATACATAAAAACCACACAAGAATTTCCATCCCAAATCACAGAAATAAAGGCTCAAAAAATCTCAGCCATCATTAAAGTGAGAGCTCCAACAGGCGTCCCTTGGTAATGGAGTTGTGAGCTCCCACAAACCTCTTCTCATTTAGCCAGCAGCCTTTCCTGGGCACAAGTGACCTCAGAATCACTGTCCACTGACACCAGCAGGGTCTGCCAGGCAGGTGGCACTGACACGACCCATGCTGGACCCTGAAACGGGAGAGCTGTGCGGAAGGGAGGAGGGAACAAGTGCTGCAGACAGGAATGTGGGGATAAGAAGTAGCTGTGTGCCACCTGCTGGGATGATGTCACAGGAAAGGCCAGTGCTTTAGGGAGGGCCCAGGCCACACCAAGGCTCTGGTAGGAACACCTATCCGCTCCCTTCCACACCATCCTCCTCACCTTCACTAAAACTCAAGACGAGGCTTCCAGAAACCCAAGAGGAGCTGGCAGAGCCTGGTTTCTGCTTTCAAGAGTGAGGCCCACCTGAGAGGCCCCGAGTGTGCAGACCCCTCCTCACTACTGTCTCAGGAGGGAGGCAGAGGGAGTTTCTGCCTGGCCCTGTCCCGTCTCTGCTACAACCTCCGAGGGAAAGGTGATGGGTTCCTTTAGGGTTTACTCTGGGACACTAGTTGCATACTGAAGCATCTCTTTAGATTTGTTGTCAGTATCACAGTTGTGTCACAAACACAAGACAGGACAGCATGACTGAAGGCATTTGGAAGCCCATCTGTTAGCCAACGGAGAGGCCCCCCAACCCCCGACGTTACAGAACAGTTTCCTGTGTCTGACTGTAGAGTGACAGTCATATTCTCAGTGGCTAAAACACTGAACACAGGTGGTAACCAATGGTTTACCGACAATTTATGCAAAATTAAGCCCAATTATTTTGCTTTCAACATTTATTTAAAACTTCAATAATATTCAACTAATTTTCAAAGACGCAACATAGACAATTCTTATGAAGAAGATCTGGGCTTGTACCGAGACTTTTAACAGTGACTTTTAGCAATCACAGGGTGTCAGCAGACAAATTCCGGA